GTACAATACGAAATTTATTAATTGTACTAAATTAACTAAATTTAATAAACTAGAAAATGCTAAATTTAATTTAAAAACTAAATATTATAATATTATTATATTTTATGCTTAATTCAAACTTTGTTATTTATGAAGAAATATTAAAAAAAAAAAAAAAAAAAAAAAAAACAGATTATACTGTAATGTAATATTTAAAAGATAAAATTGAGAAAAAAAAATCTTACTTATACCTCTTTCCTTTTTCAATCACACAAATAGGAAATAGATTTTAAAAAATAAAAAAAACAAAATAAAAAATTGATTTTTAATAAACCTAATCGTATCATTTACTGCATCGCACGTGTCACGCGTGGAAATTTTTTGTATGTATGTGTAAATATGCATATTATAATAAACATAAATGAGTAAATTTCTACATGTATGTATATATGTATATCAAATATGACAAACATAATTTCAATATTTGTGTGTGCGTGTGTAATATGTAGGGAATGTTTGAACGAATATTAGCAATAATAATGCAATAATAATGCAATAATAATGCAATAATAATGCATAAATAAGCAATATTATAATTATTTATATTGAATGTTGAAACGTGACGAACATTAATAGTCGAGTTTAAGTAACGTAAACGTAACATTTATCATAAGAAATAGATAACGACAAGCCATTATAAACATAAAACATTAACATTTGTGTTACGTAACGTAAAAAAATTAAAAAGAAAAAAATATATAAAAAAATAAAAGAAAGAAAGAAAGATAGAGAAATGGCAACGAAGTTGTAATATGGGAATTTTAAATGATGCGAGATGTCAAGGTTTCCAATTTTTTTCTTTTTTTCTTTTTTTCTTTTTTTTTTATATAGTTTTACTTAATTATCTCTTTTACTTTCTATCGTTTTTTTTTTCTTTCGTTTTTTTATTTCGAAAAATTCTTTAATAACGTTATCATCACCCCACGTACTTATTTTTCCTATTCACGAGTTATAAACACGAGACACACATATACACAACACAAATACGTATAAATAATATTTATTAGAATTCTTCTTTTTTTTTTTTACTTTACCAATGAAACAAAAATAAAGAAAAATTTCGTCAATATTATTAATGGAAAAACATTTCGCATCGAAACGCATAGATATTTCTTTTATTAGAAATAATTATTAAGAAATAAATTGTGAATGATTGAAGATATATTATATCTTATTTTTAATTATATATATAATTGTGTATATATAATAATAAAATAAAATATTATATATAAGTAAGTTATTATATATATATACATATCTTATTCTACCTATCCATCTACCCATCTATCATCGTACCTATGCATCTATTTATCTATCTATTTACCTACCAATCTGAAAACCTTGAAAATAAAGAATACCAAAATATAATTACCATTAAAAATCTTCTTGTTAGATCTGAAACAGAAATGTTAATAAATTAAACATTTTATTAAGAAACATATTTAAAATTTTTTGTAAACCCGTGCAAATATTCAATGTTATATTTATTATGTGTGCCTTCAGAAATGCCATTATACATATATTTAAAAATGAAACAATTTCAGGAAATCGAAGAGAAGAAAATCTCAAAGGTTTGTTGTTAAATCCAACGATGATCACCTGTAACAAAAAGAAAACTATTTTAATCATACAATCAAGTGATACAGAAGTAGCCTAACATATGAATCGTCCAATTCACAGATGCACTTTTCAAATTGAATTCTCTATTTATTTTTATCAAATCTCTATTTCTCAAGTTGCAATAATTTAAAATTTAAACGCGTGATTTTACATTTACATAAAAAAATATATATAAAAAAAGGAGAAGTACAGATATCAAGTTACTACAAAAAATATATCTATTAATTATTACAAAATACTTTTAAGCTATTATTCTATAGAAAAGAGAAATTGCAAGTTTAATAAAATACGATTCCAGTGAAAAAATTTAAAGACAAAACAAAAAAAGGGAAATTACTTTAATAATCACCAAACGTTAATAAAAAATTAAAATTTAATAATAAGGGAATTTTTAATGTTTTTGACTCTAACTAACTAAACACATATGCATCTTTTTGACGATATAGACACGAATTTGGTGTCCCAAGGAGATGGAATGAACCATCATCTCCAATTACAACTAGAAATTAATGACGAGCAAAGAAATAATACAATAAAATGTAAAATATGACTAAAGAACCATTCTCGAAAGGTTCGAACATGCTGTTGAACCTTCGAAAATAATTCAGTAGCCTGTAGTTGCCCTCTTGAGCCACAATTATGTGGGGGCCTCTTCGGCATTAAGCCTCTTCTTTCTTCATTTCCTGAAAACTGCATTTGGACATTTCCTACGTGCGAGCAAGATAAAATCTTTCATACTAATTTTGAAAATGAACTCATATTTTGTTATGATTCTAACTCTCAATTATTACACAATTAATTTACATTTCGCGTTCACTTTTTTAGCTCGTGGACCATCAATGAACTTAAAATTCATTGATCATACACGAGAATATTTAATCGAATGTCCAAGCAGATAATAATTTCCCTCGATGACCTAATAACACTTCGCACTTTTAAGGTCGAGTAATAAAATCGAATTGAAATAAATAGTGCAATAAATCTAAT